TACGGATATTTTGCAAAATTTACAGATTTTTGGGGTTCATTATGCAGGTAAACCTCCAAAGGGGTTGACATGTATGATGGCTCAAACCGTTTGATGTATTTTAGCTTTTCTATGTGAAAGTTACAGCTTTCTGAAATTGTAACTGACAAAATGACGGAGAGCTTTTATGTCCCCCCCCACACACACACATATGGGGACAATAACGTTTACCTGTCTGTCTGTTAATAAAGACAGGTAAGTTTACCTGTCTGTTAATAAAGACAGGTGAGTTTACCTGTCTGTCTGTTAATAAAAACAGGTGAGTTTACCTGTCTGTCTGTTTATAGACAGGTGAGTTTACCTGTAAAACACTCCAGGAAGTCCTGCTCCAGTTTTATGGCTCGGTCCAGAGCTTTCCTGGCCTGATCCTCAGACAGACGTTTGTTCAGATCCCTGCAGACAGACCTACAGGTTTACTTGTGTCTCTGGAGTTACTGTTTACATGAAATCCTGTCAGCAGATTGGTTAAAGTGTGTATAAATGAAAGTCAGGTATGTGAGGAACAGATCAGACTCACAGGATGTTCTCCAGGGATCGTGGTCGGATGAAGATGGCAATTGGTTGAAGCTGGGCGGCCTGCAGCCTCCTCACTGCGTTGGCTGAAACATCCAGGATGCAGTGTTTACCCTGAGAAGATACAACCATCAGTACTGGTTCTGACCTGGACCTTCAGGTTGTAGAACCCTGTACCTGTCTGTCTCACCTGCTCAGCCACCTGTTTGACGCTCTGCACTGACGTCCCGTACAGGTGGTTGTTGTACTGTCCAGCCTCGATGAAGCGATGTGATTGGATATCTCGCTCCATCTGTTCCCGTGACGAAACAAAGTGGTAGTCCCGCCCATCGACCTCATAGTCCCTGCGGGGTCGAGTCGTATCTTTGGGCGGAGTCAGAGAGGGGTTTATCAGTCACTTCCTGTTTGTTTACCTGACGTTTTCRACATGAGGTCAGACWTACGAGGAACACAGGAGCCGAATTTATCTGGATACTCAGACAGAAGGTCATCGTTGACTCGGTCTTTGGTTGGTCCCAGGATGATGACGGGACGAGCATAGTCCACTGAGGACATCAGACAGACAGTCAGTCAGTGAGACAGATAGAGACAGACAGAAGTTTCACCTGTTCAATAATGTTCACATTAATCTGCATTAAAATAAAAAGTTCTGTAATAATTTGTTAGGAAGCACAGGCTGGTTAGATCTGGTTTCTTTCAGGACCAGAAAGAAAACTTATGTTATTTATTTCAAACAAACTGAACCAAATGGACCAGTTCTCCTGGTCTAAGCCTGGTTTGAACCTGTTCTGAACCTGGTCTGTGTCTGGTCTTTCTGTTCACTCCGTCATTAAACAAAAACATTTGTATTGTGTGTTATTATCTTATAAACCATGAACAGACAGTAAAATTACAAATAAAATCAGTTTTTAGAGTAGAAACAGATAAAGAGTCTCTGACCTTCGATCTGAGAGACGAGCTCGTAGCTGTGAATGAAACCTTCTCGACCTGGAAGAYGAACCAGAGTTAGAACCTGACTCAGTTCCAGGTAAACACAGACAGGCTGGTGTTTAACAAGTTTTCTGTTTGATAAGTCATGGAGTTTAAATAATGACTCTCCTCCAGTCCTGAGTCTGCAGGTCTAAGTGTTGAGGGTCCATGTGGAATTGAGGTTTGGTTCAGTCTCTGAGTTCAGATTTATGAATCATTAGATCAGTTGTGACTGAATCAGTAGATTCAGGATGATCGACCTGAGTTTAGTTCCAACATGTTGATTTGTTGTTTCAAACAGAGGATGATACCTTTACTCTTCATCCTGGACCACTCCTTCCTCTCCACTCTGAAACACACAAACACAGACAGAGTTCATGGGTCAGTAAATCAATYTTACTGAGGAAACAGAAACAGATGTTCAAGATGGTGGCACASATGAACACAATGGCCCCTCTCTGTCTGTATTGTATGGGGTAATGCTCATTTAAATAGTGTTTGTCTGAAGGTTTTACATTTTCATCTCATCTGAAACACAAGTGCAGCTGACAGACTGATAGACATCTGCAAAAAAATCAGCARGGTTTTTGACGATGCAACAGAGATGCTAAGAGAGCTTGGACTACTCCATTGGTCTGCAGTAACACTGGACTCGCCTGCCACTCTTCCCCATGGAAAGAAGGTGTCTGAAGCGGAGTGTGAGGAAGCAGAAGAGGGGAAAGTGTGTAGGTATCTGTTCCAGACTAGTGGCTAACCCAACTCAACCAGCTATGCCAGTCATTCTCCTGGCCTGACTCTGCTGTAGCTACAGCTAACATGCTATCGAGTGGACAGGGCCCTCGTAAACTGTAGAAAGACATGTGGTGGAGAAGTCTATGTTTACAGCTGTGATGAGCGGTGCGGAGACCCTGTGGTGGTGTGGAAACACTGCTCATAAAGTGTTGTCCATTCTACCTGCCCTGGGAGCTCAGTGTGATCTTGTTACTTGTGGTTTATTTGCCTCACACTAACAACAACAGAGAGGAGTGGCGCACTGAATGAACTGTACCAGGCTATCAGTGAACAACAGACAGCACAGATGGTTTCATCATCCTCATCAGGGATTTCAGTCATGTTGATCTCAAAACTGTCCTTCCAAAACCACACCAGCATGTTGATTTTCCAACAAGGGGGATAACATTTTAGAACTAGTGTACATCACACAGAAAGGTGCCTATAAAGCCACTCCCCTACCCCACCTCAGATTCTCTGACCACATCACCGTTATGCTAATACCAGCAAACAGACAGAGTGAAGGTCACAAAACCTGTTAGGAAACAGTTGAGTGAATTCAGAGGGAGCATCCTCTGCCCTTCAGGATTGCTTCAAAACAACAGACTGGAGAAAGTTTAAAGAAGCAGCCATCTATAAGTGTTGGCAACATCTCAAGCAGCATCATACTGAGCACAGGGGCTTCTCAAGGCTGTGTGCTCAGTCCACTGCTCTTCACCCTGCTGACACATGACTGCACAACAATTCACTGCACAAATCACATTGTCAAATATGCAGACAACACAACTCTGGTGGGTTTCATTACCAAGGGAGATGAGAACCTACAGTAAAGAGGTCAATCTTTTGACCCTGTGGTGCAGAAACAACAATCTCTTGCTTAACATCAGGAAGACCAAGGAGATCATTGATGACRTCCATAAAGGTCACACCCAACACCTGCCACTAACCATCGATGGTGCTGAGGTGGAGAGAGTGGGRAGCACCAAATTCCTGGGGGTGCACATCAGTGAAGACTTCTCCTGGACCACCAACACTGCATCACTAGTGAAGAAAGCTCAGCAGCATCTCTACTTCCTGRCCAGACTCGTGTTCCACCACCCATCATGAGCACCTTTTACAGAGGTGCCAGTGAGAGCATCCTTTCCAGCTGCATCAATGTGTGGGGTGGGGGCTGCACTAACTACAACAGGAGGGCTCTGCTGGGCATAGTGAACACAGCCAGAAGAATCATTGGTGTCCCACTCCCCTCACTGAAAGACATACAGTATATACCATATGCTCACATCCATCTCCATGTCTACCTGTCTTGGTGTCTCACATTCAGGTTAGAGACAAACAAGGAAAACATTTAACTAACCTGTGTTTGGACGGGATGTAGCCCAGCTCCTCCAGCTCCCCCTGCTGGTTCAGACGTCTGGCCTGCCACCATTCATCATCAGCGCTGTCAATCACATGAAGGACCTCCCCAAAGTTAAAGTCCAGAGCCTGAGACAGGACCCCACAGTCCCACTGCTTATCGTAGTCAAAGAGGGCTCTGAAAACCACCACAGGACACTGAAGTGAGTCTGGTTCAGTCTGGACTCCACGTGCAGGAGGATCCACAGGTGTAATCTGGTGACGTGGGAAACCTCAGGTGTGGTGGCTCAGGTTACCTGACGTAGAAAGTTCGGTTGGCTCTCAGACTTCCTGATGAGTTGTTCATCATCTGCTCCCTCAGGTCGTGGATCTTTGCTTCAAATCGACTGTACTCTGAGCAGGAAGGAAGAAGGAGACAGGAAGCAGGAAGGAAACAGGAAGCAGGAAGGAGACAGGAAACAGGACACAGGAAACATGAATGTTACCAGCTGAGTGTTCCAGCTCTAACATGACTCCAACATGTAGGAACATGGACCATGCGGATCTACATGTATGTTCTGACATCATCAAACATGCATTCATTCACCAACCATCACAGGCTGTATACATGTTCCACTCTCACATTAAAACTGTTCTTTGTCCACAACATAGCACTAATTTCAACCAGTCAGTCCTCTGACCTCATCTCCATGGTAACAGGGACCCTAAAACCCCCTTTTTATCTGACAGTGATCTTCTCTGTTCCTAACTTTGTGTGAAACTCTGACTAACACAGAACTGATGAAAACAATTKTTCTTCMTTCATTCTTTGCTGTTGTGACCACATTGTGTTATTTTATGATGTTTGTTTAATCAGTGATGTCTCACTTAACTTCTTCTTTATTCCAGCAMTTGAAGTTTAATTTTGATTTAACCTTTACATGTGGTTTTAGTTGTTAAAATCATTTTACATTTCCAGCATGGTTTTTACAAACGTTAGTCATGATTCTGACAGATATTACTAACTTTTGAGTGGATGAGAGAATTAGAAAGTTAGATTTAAAGTTTACACTTTCATTTCATTTAACTTAAAATACGCCTTGGTAATTTTTCTTCATAAAGATCAGAAGATAAATGCGTCTCTCTCATTGGTCAGTTCATCTAAACATGGTCCGTATGGAAGGACCAAATCATCAGACTGTCTTCATCTGTCCACAGAAACTTTAACTTGTTGCTCTGCTCCTCTGTCAGTCTTTGTCTTTCAGTCTCTGTCTTTCAGTCTGATAATAAAAATTAAACTAATAAAATTAAAAAGAAACAAAAAACAATTTTTATCAGATTCTTAATGAACCAGAGTCTGTGTTCAGGTCTGGATCCAGATGTTTCTCAGCTGGAGCCTGAGGGTCTGACTATATTATAGACATGTTTATCTGTAGAGACACTGTGTTCATGTGTGTTCATGTGTGTGTGTGTGTGTGTGTGTGTGTGTGTGTGTGTGTGTGTGTGTGTGTGT